TGTGGGTACTTGTGTTTGTGTGCACCCACTGTGGGGGTGGGGGGTTGGAGGTAGGGATGTCCAGGGAAGGCAGATGAAGCCACAGAGGAGGCTGTGGTTGGATTCTGACATAGCATCTGGGTAGAATTCATTGCTTTTCACAGATCTGCTAGGGCAGCTTCTCCCTGCCTCTGAGCCACCTGCAATGGCACAGATACAGCCACTCCATTCAAGACCTATCTCATTTATTTACTTCAACTTGCTCTTTTCTTACGCTTGGGGAGGAGTATGGAGTTTAGGAAGAGGGCATGAAGGTAGACCTGGCCATCTGGTGATGCTTTTGGATGTCTGATATGCATTTAAATTTTTAACAATTCAGAAAAATCATGCCCAAGAATAGGTTCAAATTTTTGTTCAGGGGTAATGATTTTTAACTTTACAGGAAAATTTCACTGAGTTTTTAAAGATGGTGTTAAAAAAAGGAGGGTATTAACTTGCCGATCAGTGCAGAATGGGTGAAAAATCTGCCCCTAACCCCTTTACTTTTTTGCCTTGCATTGAGTGGTATGGTAAGAAAGGCAGGTTGCAGACAGTTCTTTCCTTTAGTCAATTAAAAAAAAATTTGGTATTTGTATGTGCCAAATACTGTTAGGCTGTAGTCAGAATGGACAATCAACTTAAACTTTACATCTATGGTTTAGGAGGCGAAATGTCAATTTTTATGGACTGATAATCAATGGTTATAGAGATAAGACTGACATAAAAGCTCTTGGGAGTTTTTAGCACAAAACAAAATATTCAATGGCAAATTGGTAAATAGTCAGCTATAGTTAAATCCATTAAGATAAAAAAATCAAGTGCAGGAAAATATCACACGACTATGAACTATATGGCGGTCACTTTGTTTTAAATAATTTTAATCTCGTCACTTGCTTGCCAAGTGTTTTCGTTATGCTTTAATAGGATTGTCTCCTTACCTGACTCCCAGAGGCACCCTGGCCCCTTCGTTGGAACCTACTGTGGGTTTTCACAGGTAGGAGGGCACATTGTGTGCATTTTCAGACTTGTGTCTTTAAACTTAAAGGCTGACACCAAGATTTGCTGACATCTAATCACTTTGCTCTTAGCACATCATATAGTTGGGGGGCAAGTGCAGAGCTAATTGCACTTTGCCTGAATTAACCAGTCATGAAGCTTGCTGCATGCCCACAGCCCCTTTCTTGGGACTTGACAATTTACAGGAATAGGAGTGAAAGTTTACACGTTGCACCCAGATGCTGAGACCCTGCTAGCAGCACAGGTAGCCACAGGATTACTTGTGTTTATCTGGCTCATCTTTTCTGAGCAACTCTGAGTCAATGAAAGATTCATTTTTTTATGGCTGCCTGCTGGTCTAGATATGTGGGGGGTTTGTCTGTTGCTTGGTCCCAAACAATGAAAGTCCAAAGCCGTGGGTCAGCCCAGATCCTTTAGTCATAGGCTTGTCTGGGCAACTCCCCAAAAGAGATGAGCCCTGGACGCCCGCGGTTCATTCAGCTCCACCAGCTTTTTTCCCCCACCCGGATTCCCAACTCAAAGCATGGGGCTGTTTTGGAGGACAAAGTCAGGGGGCTTCAGGCTGCTTCAAATTTTCCAAGAGAGACACATGGAGAATGTGGTTTTACGTGTAACTTGGATCTGACCGGGGATTACCTTGACTATTTTGCTTTGCTCCCTAACGTAGTTTCTCCTTTGGGGGTATGACCTCGCCTTTCCACCACCCTGCTTCTCCACAGTTCACCTCGTTTTCTGCCTCACTAGGGGATGCCCACCGCGCTGTTAAGTCCTGTGGGCCCCTAGAGTGGCAGCGTCCCCAGCAGCGTTTGCTCAGATGTGCGGGCGCTGGAGAAATGCAACCTCCCCCCCCCCCCATCCCAGCGGCCAAGGGGTCTGGGTGGGCGTGACTGTAGTAAGAACTGGCTCCTAGACTGGTCCAATTTTGTCTCAACAGGCAGCAGCGGGGCTTTCCTGCAGCCCCAAGTTCCTTGTGGCCCCAAGGTACAAAAGGACGTTTCAGGGCGGAGTTTCCCACTCCCTGCCGCAGACAACAGCCTCCCCCGGCTGCGTCCCTTCCCCTCTCGCAGGAGGAAGGGCTGCAGACTTTCAATGCCAGCCGCCTGGCCCTGGATGCCCGCAGCCCCCCCACCCCCGCCTGCCCGCAGGCTACATTTCCCCTCTGCAGGCTCACGCCACGCGCCCCTTGCCGCCCTCGGGAGTCCTGCGGGTGCCGGACGCCCCCTGCTCCGCAGACAACCGTCCTTCTCCGTGGCCGGGCGTGGCCGGCGCAGACCTCAGTGTCTGTCCCGAGGCGGCCGCAGAAGGGCCCGCCGGTGCTGTCCTGCCGGGGGCCGCCCACACCACCCGGCTGGCCACACAGGCGGCCTCCGAAGCCAGCTGCTCTGTAAGAACTGGCTAAATCGCTAGAAATGGGTGGGTAGTTTGGGGGAGTCACACGGGGGGCTTCTCAGCCCCCATGGGGGCCGGCCACGGTCTCCGGAACGTTCCCGCTGTCGGGCGTGTCCGGCCGGAGGACCCTCGCCCTAGGCCGGCTTGAGGGCCGGAGTCGGAGCCGGTTCAGCTGTGAACGCGCCTGGGCCCAGCCCGGCCGCCGGCTCTGGACACCCCGGTGTTGAGTGCGGTCCCCCGGGA